AACCTGCAAAGAATGCCACTCTGTGGGCATGCCACGAGACAAGTGATGGTGTATGATGCAATTCTTCAAGAGCAATCTTTGCTATGAGTTCTTTGTTCTTTTCCCTATCTCTTTTACTTCCACTTTTTACACTTTTTACACTTGATAAAACAAACGCTTAGTGATGAAAAAATGTCTCTGTTAAAGACAGGTTAATACTGATAAAATATAGAAACTGAAAAAGAATGGTACTGAAGACTTCATTCCTTATACGAAGTAGTTCTGCGTTCACATTTTGTGAGAAGTATATTTGAACAATGGACATTACCCAAACATAATGTCTTTAATTACAAGTCATTTTGTTTTGTTGACAAAATAGCTTAAACAGCTTAAATAGCTTAATAATACTTGATACTTTTTGAAATGCAGTAAGTTCTCCAATCATATTTTAAGAGTTTTAAAGGTACATATGGTAAATGCTACTTGGATAAAAATGACAGTTTTTACAATTACTAATTATACGTTTTCTGGGACAACGAAGTGATCTAAATTAGCTTGGGAAGAGAAGTTACAGCTACTCAACAAAATCATTCCTAGAAGCCAATGATAAACGCTTAAATAATGCACTTGGCTTTATACCCGCGTATAAGCTTACATGCATTGCCATATGCGCGTGTCCGCAAAATATGACAAAACATACCGATTCTTTATAGCTACAACAAAATTACGTGTATGCCCAAGTAAGACGCCTTTGCTCCGTCCGACAGCAAATTGTATCACCATTAATTCGGAGTTTAGGAACATGCTTTCTGGGTGTCTTGCGAGCTATTCGGCGTCGTTTTGGTCAAAGGAACTGACAAGAAACGCAGAGGGATTCTTTTCCCTGTTGGTGATTTTTACTGCGAAATCCGGCATGTACATTATGTACATGTAAAGCAGTGACCGTGGAAAGATCAAAACACTCTTTAAACTACGGTTTCTGGGCCACCGACATTGATTGGTGGCTTTTCAATCACCACCAGGTCATACGAGGGCACGGAATCTTTTCTCTGCCCGATCTCCCCGTTGCTGACGGTCGGCTCCTCGCTCTCTTCCCCCTCTTCCTCGCTCGACGACCTCTCGGCCATCTCCACGGGCCATCTCCTAACACCAATTTCATTTATGGAATGTTTCTAGTATCAACGAAAACAACTGCATTTCAAAGGGAAAATCACTTTGCAAGCCAGTCCTCCCCAGCTGTTGCTTTCGACAGTACCTCATACAAACCATGCATGCAGATTGATCAAAACGAATAATTTTAGAAGGAGAGTAATTTCAACACTTAAATGTTACTTAATCGAATCGATATCTCGACCGAAACAGTATGGCTTCATTAAAGCCTTCAAGTACTAAATAATTACTGGTAAATTGGCAGTTTAAGTTGTAAATTTCTTTTCGATGCTGCCTCGCCAATATGATAGGGTATGTAACCTTAGTGTCTCTCTTTAAAAACTCACTTGGACAGAAGGAAGCCGATTATAAAT